GGGCAGCTGCCCTCTCCCTCAGCGCCCTGCACGCACACAGCGCTGCTCCTGCTGCTGGAGCCTGACGCTCGCTTTCCTCTCACCGGCAGCTCGTGGACCTCCCCAGAAGAGGAGGTCAATCCCGTGGCCGTTTGCTCGGCACCGCAGCTCGGCCAGCGGGAAGTGCCCAGAGGTGCCGGTTGCCCAGAGCCTTCTGTTTGGGCAGCCCCTGGACAGGCTCTGTGGGGCAGAGGGGAGCCTGCCCCAGCCCATCCAGGTAGGGCAGCCAGGCCCCTGGGGACTTGGCCTGCACACGTGCTGCTCTGCGGCAAGGCCCAGCTCCCATCACTAGTGGCCTTTGTGCACCCCAGGATCCCTTGTGTTTGCTTCTGCCGGCAGGATATCCTGGGAATCTTGTACAGGGAGGGACCCACTGCAGAGGGCATTTTCCGGATTGCTGCCAGCGAGCGGGATCGTCGGCAGCTCAGGGAAGCCCTCGATACAGGAGGCAGCGTGGAGCTAGAGAGCAAGCCTGTCTACCTCCTGGCTGCTCTCTTGAAGGTGAACTCCTTCTCCTCCTCCTCCTCCTCCTCCTTGCCCCCCTTGGAGAGCAGGGAGCTCAAAGCTGCTGCCTCCTGGGGAGCCCAAGTGTCAGGGATGCTCCCTCTGGGCTCAGGGCTCATGTCCAGAGCCTCATCTCCATACCCTGGTCTTGCAGGATTTCCTTCGAAACATCCCCTCCACGCTGCTCTCGGTGGCCCTGTACGAGAGATGGATGCAGGCTCTGGCTAAGGCAAGCAAGCAGGAGCAGATGCAAGAGCTGAAAGAGTAAGTGTTGTGGGCAGTGGCAGTGTTCAGGGGTGTGTGGGAAAGCTCGGGGCCTTCTCTGCTAATGGGCAGGCTCCTGCAAAGGCCCATCATTTCTGCGAGCTAGTGTTGATAGTGCACAAGAGAACCCCAGACTTTCATGGGCCTTTGCAAAACCTGCCAGCCCCTCATGTGCTGACGTCCTCCCCTTTCCTCACGCTGCCCATGTCCTGAAGGGCAGGCACCTTGCTGAGACACTGGCCTTTGAGTCAAGGTCTTGGCCTTGCCGCTCTTGCGCTTAAGTGGCCGCTCAGCTGCCATTGGAGGATTCTCCCCAGGACATGTGTAAGGCAGTGAGAGAAAGCAGGGGTCCTGCTCTCTGTGGAGGACACACTGTTTGTGGGAGTTTCCTTGAGACTCCTTGCTCGCAGGCAGAAGCAGCGGGCACTGCCTCCTCACGTCAGGGCCCTTGTGTTTGTGTTCACGCAGGGTGGCTGAGCAACTGCCGCCATCGAATCAGCTCTTGCTGAAGAACTTGCTTGCCGTGCTCAAGCACATCAGCCAGAGCTCTGCACTGAACAAGATGACCTCCAAGAACCTGGCCATCTGCATTGGGCCCAGCATGCTGGGTCCAGGCCAGGACAGCACCTTGCCGCTCCAGCTGCAGATGGAGATGAACATCAAGGTGTGTGGAAGATGCCACGGAGCTTCCCGCGTTGGCCACAGCTGAGCCAGGCCCACACATCCCATGGCCTTTGCAAAAGCCACCTCTGCTCAGCAATGCGCAAGCTGACAGGCAGAGCTCTTCCCGCAGCTGCGGCCATAAAGCTACAGCCCTGGGGACAGAGCCATCAGTGGGGAGCAGCAAACACTGCTAATGCCTTTTGAGCCCTTTTCCTAACGCCCATTTTTTCTGTGTGCAGGTGGCTGTGCTGGTGGAGGTCCTCATTGAGAACCACACTGTAATATTTGGGGAGGACGTGGCCTTTCCTGGCAGCCCCTCTGCAGCGCAGCCCTCCGAGGACCCCGGCGGA